AGCAGCCACGCTTGTCTCCAGCTGGTGGGGAGCAGGTCAGAACAGAGTGCAGATTAAGCAGCCACGGTCAAGGTCTGTTGTTGGGTTTACATTGGTTCAATTCACACCTCATTCACTTTACCCATGAAGGACATTGGGGAAGAATGTGAAGGGAGCATTCACAAATTCATCATGACTACTCAAAGAACAAGTGGGTGAATAATTAGGTCATCCTGCTACGAAAAGGGCTGAACACTATTTGGGAAAGTAAGATGGAAAATTCCACGAGGGTAAAAACTTTGCTGTCTTGTTCACCACTTTACACCCCTAACCTAGTGCCACAGCTGGCACACAGTAAGAACATGAGAAAATTACCTACAGTGGAAGCCCTCCATGATCTAATTTATTCTATTACTAGAGCATAACTTCTGCTTGGGAATTGACAGAAGAATAATAGGGTTTATGTTTTCTCATGACCATGTCCCCCAAGCAATACTGTGAAATGATGCTGCAATTTCTAGCTGTGCTTTAGCTGGTGAGTAATTCATAAAATCCTTTAGAAATTAAAACTCTGTTTAAACAAGCAATTGATGGTAATATTGAAGGCCTTTAAGCTGTTCCCATTGAGTTCTTGATTGACAATGTCAAAATAACCATCATAGCTAAGGCCAGAATATTCAAGAATGCAACAAAAATGAAGACAGAACAACACAAAATCCCCTAAACTGTCTTAGCTATAATTATAAAAACAGGCACTAACTTGCATTTTGCTGAAGCCCTGAAACTGCCTTCAGGGGCAAGATAGCAAGCAGTACATTAAGAAACAAAATAAATAAATAAATAAATAAANTGCCACTGCCCTTCTGTAACGTGATGCTTGGCAGTCGTATGCACAGGGGAGGAGCCAGGGGTAAGGGCTCATGCATGGCCAGCTGGCAGGTGCAGGCTGACTCCAGCTGTGTGCAGGGTAACCCATCGGAGAGAGCTGGGCCACGCTGGACCCTTCCCCATGGAGGCCAAGGGGTGTTATATTCTCCGGGGCCTCTGATGACAACGCTCAGTGTCAGGAGAAACACTGACCAAGAATCTGGAGGCTCTTCTTCCGCATCCTGGTCGCCCATGTGCTTGGAGGCACCATTCCTCTCCCCTTTGTTCTTCCGCCTCCTCCTGGCACAGGTCCCCCTCCTTTCTGTGTGGCCCGCTTTCCCTCCTACCCTGCTTCCTGGCTTTATTCCTCCCAGGCTTCCTCTCACACTAACCTCTTTGTCCCTCTCCCCACTCCTCAAATGACATTTTTTTGTGCCCTCTGTAAGCCCAAAGCTGCCTGCCAGGCCTTTCTTCCTCCTCATTTCTTCTGCCTTGTCAAAAAATGCACTTAATCCGGATCTAAATTTTCCTCCTGGGCACTTCATTCTGTGTATCCAGGTGGCCTGGGGGGGCAATCCCTCCCCCTTGGAGGACTCAGACATCCTGAAGAAGAGTCTGTCAGAGAGGCAGTTTTGTGAGGCGTGGCTGCAAGCCGCACACCTGGGTTTTGGTCCAAGTCATAACCTTCCTCTGCTCTCCATCAATCCATCAAAACTCACCTGTACTGGCTGAGACTCCTCAGTGGGTTCAGTCAGCTCTGAAATGGATTCCCTGAGTGACATATAAGTGGATGACAGTCTCTCAATACACATGGTCAAGTTAGGGAACCAGTACACACAAAACCCCACTCAGTAATACAAAACAAAGTGTTTGAGTGATAAACCTATGTCCCCAAGTCAACCTCAGGGATACAGTCTCATTTCCAGGGCTGTCACCTCTGAGCCTCCATCTTAGCTGGTGGCTCCCCAGCACAC